GGTTCATCAGCCGCACAATGCTGTCAGCTGCTAAACGTTTACGAGTGGGGTAAAACTTTTTGGCCAAAATGTTGTATTTTGTTGTGTATGTGCTCAGACCAAAATCCATCCTAACCAACATTCATGTTTTTGCAGGTCACTAAATTTCAATGTCCATTGAAGCAATGTACTTCTAGTAGAAACATTTCCCGGTATTACTGAGATCCCGGCATCCCTAAATGGGGCTCAAAAGTTTGGGCTGATACCCTAAACTCGACTGCCCGTTTACTTGAGTTCCTCAGGGACACGTTACAGCCTTCGAAATTTCAACTGCATTGTGCAAATACTGACCACCACTTCGGTGTCACGTATCACCTATTCGTGAATTTTCCGCTGTATAGGACCAGCAACAAGCAGCCATTCTTTTAGGATAACTTGGAATTGAGTAATCCAGTAAGAAAACTTGTGTCTTCCATATACATCATGGGGGCCCCATCAATGAGGCTTTCAGTGTGGTGTTGTTTTACTCACCAACCTGATGGCACGGTTTCAAATTTTCTGTTTCTCAAGGTCGTTGGCGCGTTCTTCGTCTGTGGTATGCCGCGAGCCCGTGGAACGAGGCGTGGTCGCAGACGGTGCTACCTGCAAGAAAAACGGAGGAGCGATGAACAGAACGTCAGTGATGAAGATGCCGTGCCGTCTCAGAATGATGTTAGTTAACGCTTTTTGCTCCCTCAGTTTTGCATTTGAAATCAGTTTTTGTTAGTAGTAGGCGTATTTCTCTCAGGTTTCTTTTCCGAAGAAGTACCATCACTCGCTAAAATGTGCCTTTCACGGAGGATCTTTTGATTCCGAAGCTAGCGGTCACTGAAGTTCTGCGATTAGTCCACTGAGTTTGCTGGTATTGTTTGCGTCGATTAATGGTTGGAAACGTTTCCTGCACTATCACATCTGCCCTTTACAAGCCTTCTTATGTCTATAATTTGGTATACGCGACCATGCATGCGTTTTTATTCTGTACCTGGCTAGTCGTGACTGCACATGTAATGCTTGACTGTACTCGTAAGCCGTGCCTGTGCTGTGAAATGTGAAGTTAATGCTTGGATATTTAAGGCGATAGCAGTGTTTGCCAACTGGCCTCACTTACGGACATCGAGGTAGCTCAGTGGCTGACGTGCGAACTTACTAAATGGTGGTTCGAACCCAGTCTCCTCATCTGTCTAGGCTTGGCCAACCTGTCAGTATCTCATACCTCGTGCTTCCTTCGGGTTGAGTGTCGGATAGGCACCGAAATAGTGTTGCAGCCGAACGATGACGCCGAAAACGAACTTCAGTGAAGCTAAAGAGCCACATATACAAAACAACTGTAAGAGCTACTTTGCCCTGTTGTTACGAGAATTGGTCCTTCCGACCCGAAGACCTTAATCATCTTCAACTGTTTGACCGCCGGTGTCTCTGCAGCATAGCAAGACTTGGCCGAATGCAGCAAGTACGGTGCGAAATGGTGCGCAAGCGGCGCTTGGTAACAAATACGAATAGTTAAGATAGGATGGAGTCCCAGTGGCGCGCATGCCTTCATTTCTTTACCGGATTGTCTAAAGAGTTTGCTCGTCATTGTGCGCGGGGTATATGTCAAGTGAGGTTCACAATGATGCTGTGTCAGTCCCTCTGGGAGCGCCCTACTTACACGTGATCTTTATTGTTATCGTCACTGACAGCAACACCAGCTGAGAAAACGTGTTTTGCTGTTGTACAGCCATGTCAATAAAGCCTTATAACAGAAAGAAGGAAATGGGTAATTTGGGGGGCTCAGGATAGCCCTGAAAAACATCGGAGGCGCCTACACTTTCAACACTAAGCCAAAAAGTCTGGATAAAAACGGAGACCATGAACGTCACAGACATCGGTTAGCCGGCATGTCGTGCATTGTCCCGAGCCAAGAACAGGGAGGGTCATGTGCACCCCATCTGGGACGCGAACAGCACCAACAACACCTAAATCTTTCGTAATATCCTTATTTTCCTTCTGCCATGTCAGGTTAGAACACATTCGCATTAAGTCTCTACCAATTCTCCTTAGAGCTCTTTTCCCATGATATATAATCGCTATTATATACTACTGGTCTGTTGTTATTGACGGTCACGTCTGTGATTTCCCACTGACTTGTTGAAGAATCCCTCATGAAACACTTTTTAATAGCCAAACGATCTGGATGCCATCTCATGGTGTGCAGGCGTCCGTTCGCTCATAATATCACCCATTCGGCCCAGTACGGCTAATTTGGTAACTTCGTAGCTGCTTATGGGACGTGTGGATGCGACGCTTCGACATGTTCTTACCTTGACGAAGAAAACTGAACCCACTTCTGCTGAGTCCCTTTCCCAGCGGTTCGCAACAATGTGCACATAATATACACGAGTATTTAGTCAGCTTCATTAATGTTCACAAAGTTTAGATTTGACTTCGGCTGGTAGAGCAGAAAATTGTTACTATTCGTATTCTATAAAAGTGTTTATCCCCGGTTTCGTGGGAATTGGCTGGAGAATTCCGGTCCATTCGGGAACGAGTGCTGTCTCGCTCTGTGGTTGGGATTTAGACCCAAACGCTTTTGTTACCGACCTTACTAATCCTGCCTGGTGTTGGATGCCGCCACAGTGACCCACGAATATAGTTGGTGCATGCATACATACGAACGGTTTCACGCCACGTCAGCCGTCATTTTCGGGAGTCAGGAAAGTCATTCTTTTCTGTAACGAGCAATAACTTTCGGGCATTCCTTTTCCTTCCGCCATCCTCGTGACGTCAATCACTTGTCAAATCTCACATCTTGACTTGGAGTGGCCGTTTGATGTTATCCTGCTAACCAACCTGTCGTGTGCTTTGCCGTCATGGGGTCATTATTCTTGCTGTCTTACAAGCTTGGCATTAGGCAACGCACTGTACTTGGCGGTACAATGTCCTTGACTTGTTAATAACCTCGTTTTCGGGCGTTCCAACGTAGCTTCTAATCAGTCACTTAACGACTAGAGCGTGAACGTTATATACCATTGTTGTGTATGACTTTTCCTCTTGGTTAAATCGTAACTGCAAGTTATATTCTCGTTCCAGGAGACCTCCACTGAAATCGACGACCAGTTAGTGGATGTGAAGCCAAAAGAAATTCCAGGCAACCATGAAGTTCCCATGGACGAGGATGCCGAGGGCGCTGAAGACGAGGAAGAGGATTTTGACGACGAGTTGAACACTCCGACATGTGGTCGTCGCCTTACAGAGGGTGAAATAGACGTGGATGATGCTGACAGTGTGAGTGTGGAGGATGAGCCAGTCGAAGAGGAGGAAGAGACCGACGAAACTCTAACTCCGCCGGAGAAAGCGGCACGAATTTGCCGACTTTCACCAAAGGAAGCAGTTGGCGAGGAGCTCGGAATGTTTGTTTTCCTAGTGACGGCTACTCGCCCGTTGCGTGAGGCTTACGTATGCGTACGAAATTTTGCTGTGAGTCTCTCTATGTTCTCACTATTTAGACATGTACCTGTATGTATTCGGCTGTGGGATCGCTCTGATTCGTTGATGGGGTTTTGATTCAACAGTCATTTCCCAATAGAGGTAAGAGATAAAGACTAGCTTCATCATTATATATTTAGCTTCTACGGCGGGGCAACACGGGTCTGTAAATAATACGCACTACAGTTGCCCATGTTCGATGATTTGCAGCAGCTGGAACTACTATTGTCTAACTGCCATATAACCACGATAAAAGACCGCCCTAGTTAAGAGTAAAAGGAAGGGAAGGAGGGAGGTTCGGTACAAAAAGCCTTATGCTCTTACGGAAGACGAGCAGTAATGAGGCGCCCACGTCACGTAACAGCCTGAAAGTGCCACCGCTGGGATTGATCCAACATTCACTGCGAATCCCGCCTAACGTTTGCCAGACATAGAACAACAGATGAACTGTAGCTAGGCAGCTGAAACGTGACAGCATGCTGGCCATTAAAACCGTCTGAGTGTGACAAAATGCGAGGAAAATCACGCAAACCCCAACCAAGAAGGCGAGAAGATCCCACAACGCTCAGCTTTTCAGCAGCTTCTATTTTGCTTTGCAGTATCACAACTGGCCTTCCGGTAACCTGTCGTCAACGAAAGATCGGAGTAGAAAACGGTGTTTACTTTGGTAGGCAGGCTCGTGTGGTATGTGTCCACCTTCATCTAATGAGTTTCTTTGCTGTGTTGATTCTGATTGATCTTCAGGTAGCTATTTACTCATCAGTTCACAGCGAACACGTCGCAATGAGCTAACACCTGGTGCACTACAAAATGATTGACGATCAATAATTTGAACACGTCCAGAATCCTTAGATCGCAGGTGCAGATTTTCACAACCAGAGAGTAAGGCTGCTCTATACACCGGTCCTTTAGTTTCAAAAGCCCGTTCCTGATGCCATGAATGACGCAGGTTCGAAAATTTCGCCCGCTCCTTGATAGTGTGTTCATTGATTTCTTTTGTGACGGTACAGTCACGGATCATGTAGCTACCCATATGAGCTAACTAACAAGAGTTCTTTTCTCTGAAGTTCCAGAGGGACGCATGGGACGGAAGACTCAACATATCAACATCCGGAAGTAGTTCTTTGCACTTTCAAGGTGCAAAGTGCATAGTGAGACAAGGAGTCACTTCCGAAATTCTGTGTAGACTGTGCGGATTGCGAATCGTCGAGTAGGAAGACAATGTCAATACCACAGTCCAAGTCCACTACTCTTTCTGTAGATATCATTTTGGTATCAAGCTCCTTGATCCTGTGAGATAGGTATTTCATGATGATGCCAGAGACAAACGTAAAACAAAGAGGTTAGAGAGAAAACCTGTTGATACGCGTTGGTCGTAAGAATAGTTTCGGACAGTTCGTTGCAAACCCTTACACAACCAGAAGTGCAGGAGTAAAAAACACAAAGCATGTTGACACAATTTTGCCGATTATATGTGAAACGACTGAGACGTCCTTCAACTCGAGGAAAACCTGAATTGTTGGCAGGTGTTACGTGACGCCGCTTAGGTATTCGACTTAAGGTGTGATCTTAAGTTGTGACTGTACCTGTGGTCAGTGCACCCACTACTCGGACAAAATTCCGCTTGGTTTCCTGGGATTTGTGTTCACGTACCGGGGTTAGGCTTAGTATTATTCGTTCAGACAGGTGGAGGCTAAAGCAGACACTTCGGATATCTTTCTGAATGAAGATGAAGTAACTGATTGATCTCGGTTGTCTGAGATGCGCTTTTTTCCATAGTAAGGTTAAACAATCTAGTTAAAGTGGAGCACAAATATATACCGCCTTTAAGTAACACAAGTGATGGTTCATCTGGACCGGCAGCCCAACGGCTAAGTTGTTGGCCAGAACCACACACGTAAGGTTTCCCACGAAGTCACAGCGCACGCCATGAGTGCGTTCTTGTTGCATACTTATCACAAAAATACGGGTAAGCTCCATCGATTTCCACTGTTTGTATGTGATCGGCTATTCCTTTTTCGTTTTAGAACAATAGTCTCTTTAGATTGGTAGAAACTGAGATTCAGCTTTTTCTTTGATGGTAGGTCCGCACCTTTAGATAAACACTGCCACAGATGTTAAGTGGAGGAACGCACGACATCCAATGAATGCAAGGAGAATTCTAAAAGCGACACGTTAGCTTTTTCAACTTGCACATCTTACCATATGGTTTCAGCGTTTTTACACATATTCATTTGCCTTCCCGTCCAGTGTCTTTTGTGGTCAGAGGACCCGACGATTCAAGTCACAGTCGGCAGACTATCCGATTTTGTGGCTAGTAACCTCTCAGAAGAGAATACTCGGCTAATGTTAGACGCTGGTCTTACCGTCCCACTGCCCAATGGTCCGCATCAACCGCCAGGTTCAACGTCCTCAGCATCCTCGGTCTCCGATGATGCGGGTCGAATTCGGACGAATAAGGATGGTACATCTCGCACCACTTCGCGCCCATCGGCCCTCCCATCCAGTTGGTCACCATGGGGTAGCCCTTCTGCCAAAGCAAACCTTGAAAAAATGTGCTATTATGCTATTCTGTTCCTGGAACGGTACGTCTGACCTGTCACACACTGTCTAATTTTCGAAAATGAATATTTACTTCCACGCGCATCCAATCGCCACTCGGGCTTACGTATGCTGCTCACACAGAGCGAAACTGATAGTCATTTGTCGTAGCAGCAGCATGTCCTGCCAAGTAAAGACAGTTCCACATCTTGCGTATCGGCCCAAAAGAACCTTGGCTACATATTCAGTTGGAGAGCGTTGTAGGCGAGTTATTTCCGCATCTCATGTCATCGCTACATGTTGTTTACATAACCCAGGAGAGACGCGGCAGTTGGTATTTTTTGGGTTTGCGGTGAGTTCCTTCAGTTTTTCTCTTACGGCTATAACAATCATGTTCTCATTCCCATCGATCAGATTGCTCAGATTCGGATCGAGGGAATCTAACGACGGGTTGGGTTTGAACGATAGCTTTCCCGGACAGATGCCTGCGTCTTAACGTCCAAGCTAACTCGGTCTCTCGTCGCTACTCAACTGGTCACCGGATTTGTACAACAACTACTAGGTCCAGCTTGTTGCACTACCAGTTGTGGCGTAACTTTATGAGTAGTTTGAAATCCTCATAGACCTGAGGATCATATGGAATCTTCTTAACATGAGTCACACTATGTGGTTTGCTCCTTCGGTGTTCAGGAGCATGATTACTCATCCCACCATCTCTTAGTCAACTGCAACATTTGCGTTAGTCTACTTCGCCTGCCGTTTTCTGTCGGTTCTCCTTCATTAAATCCGTTGGCCGCTTCAAGTCTTGCCTGGTCTGGTTCTTTTGGAAACAGCTGTACCCCGAAAAACAGCTAGGCTGAAAGAAACTTCTCTCATCTGTATCGATAGTGGATGAGTGTCTGAAGGTGAAGGCACCTCGAAATGATTGTAGTAAGCCAGCACTAAGTCCCATCCCCGTCCACCTTTATTCTTTTCTTCACAATAAGGTTTTCAAATAAATCATGTTTGTATGGCAGTGAAGCATCGATGTTGAACGCTGATGTTATGCTGTTGTTGTTGTTGTTGATGATGATGATTGTGATCAAAGTTCCTGGGGTTTTTCTTCATGTGAATTTGTCACTTAGCCATGCGCCCTTGATTTTGTTTTTTTTTTTACTTTAACAGGATTAACTGTTGTGAAGCCACATTATTGAAGCAGTTAGGTCAGCTTCAGTCTTCATCTTAGGTTCCCCTAAGTACAGATTTCCCAAGCTCTTTGGGTAATTAATCATCATAAATATCAGTGTTGAACAATGGTGCTTCGCTGCCGATTGGCTTGAATAAGACATTTTTTTAAAAAAATAAAAGGATTGAAAGGGTCAATCGCTAGTATCTTGATTCTCGGCACTCGGTCGGACATTCTGAATAGGAACTGACGGACGTAGATTTTTAGCCATACATTGCAGAGTCTTTAATTGACCATAGCAGTCGTCTCATGAACCTTTACCAAGATGTCAGATCGTAACGCTAACACTCAAACCTTTTGTAGCCTCTGTCTACCTTTCGTTTTCGAGCTCATAACAAAAGGTCACCGCAAAATTAGCTTCATAGATCACGTAATTATCGATGAGGTCTTTTTGTTCTAGCTGTTAGATTGTTCTTGACTGTTTATACGCACTTCTTGCTCTGCCTCTGAAGCATAGTTGGTAAAACTGAGACACGCTCCCATGTGTAATTCCTTCTGGAATCTGAGTGAAACCAAGACCATTTAGCAAGATTATGCAGGAGAAACATTTGAGCTGATTGGTTCGCCAGTTTTTCATGGGTGGACACACATACGACCACACCTAAAGGAAGAACATGGTTACTTGGTGTGAATGCCATGAACACAGTCTTCCCACATAACTCAAAAGTGCTGTAGGGCGGATCTGGGATTTTGAAAGTATGAATATCCAGGAAACCGAAGACCCCCCAGGCCACCGTGGTCTCACATTTGCGCATTGCACAGACGCGCTGTTCGAAGTGGGATCAGAGCTGTATGAAAGCGCTGAGTCGGTATGAACACTCGAAGAGCCCGATAGTCGATACAACACGGCATCATCCGGTTTGCTTTCTCAACCTAAATCTGCCACCTTGTCGTGGAGGTCGGCCTTCTGTACTGCAATGATCCTGCGCTCTATATTGGCTAGAAATCAGTTCCTAAAGGTTCATCCATGCCAGAAAGACGAAATAGCAGCTCAACGAAGGACAGTGAATCCCCATACTGCGAGGTGGTTTGGGGATAAAGCCGGCGGCGCATTATTCACTACGGACGAAATGATTTTAAAACCAAAGACACCGATGTTGCTCAAAGGGCAACTGCTGTGTGGAGCCGCATTAGGAGTGAGACAGTAGTGCCTTACTACTTGCAGCCAAGTATGTCAGACTATTGAGTCTCTAGCTCTGGGAAGGGTCCCCGAAGAAAACCTTAACAACCGCTCTCTCGCGATTAGGACTTTTGAGCCACAGGGTCCCCAAACAAAACATTGCATCCTCCCGCTGCCTTGTGGGTCAGACTTCTGAGTTGAAGGCTCCTTCTCTCCTCCCACCCATTGAATGATGCAAAGCGGCCGACCCATCCGCCAGCCCCCCTAGCCATTGTTCCGTGTATAAATCACCACCCAGAAAAATAAACGGAAATAACCACTTACCAACCTCAAAAGATTTGATCCACGTTTCAGCCTTCGGTGTCCGTACTCTCTATGCTGAATTGGACAATAGGCTTATATTGCCGAAACACGCGTGCGGAATCCCACTTCGGTCGCGCCCGTTAGACCGTTTATTACGAGTCCAAACGTTCCATATTTCACTCTGGGTATCTGGCGACCCTGATACAATGGCTCGTGGTATCTGCGGTGTAGTGTCTGTACTCAGCTCTAAGGCTAGAAGCCCTTTAGTGGACTGAATCCCAGTAAACAATCGTCTTTGTACTGTGCGGTTTGGCTCAATTAAGATCAATACTGGTCGATGCGGTACCCGGTGTTCATTTGTCATATCGGGGTATGCCCCAACAGATTTCAGTTCTGGGACTGAGAAGGACGGGCTTTATCAAGGTCTGTGACGACTGCTTCGATCAGCAAGAAGGACGGATGTAGTAGTTCTGGCGACTGAGATGAATGCCCAAGTTGGACGACTAGGCCTGGAAGAAGCATAATTAGGCGGTAGATTTGGAGTCGTTGCTTAGCGTATGCATAGTGAGAGGCGACTGCTTCAGTCGTCTGCAAACCGTGTGTTTTTGGCCAGTACAAACCTCCAGCACATACGCCCACACATACGCCATCAACCGCAAGACTGTCATGGACTCGTTTGGACCATGTGACCATCAGTTACCGATGAGGAGCCTCGATTAAAGACTTTCGTCCTTTCTGGAATACGCAACTTGGCTCTGATTCTGCCATTGTGCAAGCCCAGTTATCACTTCGTTTTCCGTCAGCATTACGCGTACCCAAGCAGAGCAGTTCCATTCGTCAACTTCGGCAAGTTTCAGTACCTCAAGGGTGTCGAGCTCATCTGACTGGAAAGCTACTGGAGTCATGCAGCTATTTGGATGACGAAGATTGCTTGGAGGTTAATGGGAGCGAGTTAAGGAAGTCATGTTCTGAGCTTTCAGAACTGTTTGTCCAAGTCATCTGACACGACTGAATCGACCGGATATTGTCGAGATCATCAGATCTTATTGCTGCCGGAAAGGCTTTGCCAGCAACTAGCGACTGTGACGGCGCACGCAGATCCCTCAAAAACCGGATAATCACGAGCTTGAAGAATGGTTGAGAACGCTGGTGGGCTTCTACGGTTCAGGAGATGGAGAAGGCTCTCGCTGCAGGCAACAGCCGCGCTCCATTTCGAACACCCTGTCAAAAGAAAACCGCTGCAGGCAACAGCCGCGCTCCATTTCGGCCGACTCGAACACCCTGTCAAAAGAAAAAAAATATCGGGGAAATCGTGTGCGAAAAAGATGGAATGGCAATTTACTCACAAAGTTGTCTTGAGCGATGGGCCGAACACTTTCAATAACAGTTTAGCCAGTCTCCTTCGACATAACCGCGGGCCCGAATGGAACGTCGACACCGACGCCAAAAGGCACCTGGCCTCGGATGGTCTCCACTTCGCACTCTTCAGAAGTGGTGGTGTTGTCATGGTGAACAGTCTGACAACCATTCGGAACAAAGGGCTCCGGATAGCTCAGTGGTTAAGGCGCCAGTTTACGGGCTCTAAGGTTCGTTGTTCGAACCCAACGTCAGCATCTTGACTGCACCTGCCTAGGCTTGGACAACCTGGAAGTATCACAGCCCTCGTGCCCCCGTCGGATGGCCTGGCAACTAGGCACCGAAAGAATGCTACAGCTAAACGTTTGGAATGAAAATAGAATGCCAGTCGAATGGAGCTCCTCGGCCATCATCCAAGTTTTCGAAATGGGTGCAAGAACGTCTTGCGAAAACCATCGTTCATCAGCATGGCATCTATTGTGCAGGTTGATCGATTGTCGGGAGAGACATATCCTGGCCGAGGTTGCATCAACCCCGTCTTACATTAGGATGGGTTTTTGAACAGCGCCACTACTTCAAACGTCCCATGTTTCTCGACCTGAAAGCTGTTTTCGACCGTGTCGATCGTCAGAAGTTGGTGGAGTCTGGCGATTAAGGGTGTCCCTTCCAAATTTGTGTACTGTGTGTGTGAACTCCCCTAGACGGGTACGAGTATACGGCAATCTTTCACTCGAATTCACCAAGTCCAGTGGTGAGAGACAAGGTTGCCCTCTCTTATCTCCCCTCAACTTTATTATTAATCTGCTACCTGAAGTTTTTCAGCCTGCTTTTGAAACCTTGAAGTCCGAAAGCTGTCGGGACGCTCACTCGCAGACAGTGGGTATGCGGACGGTATTGCTATCGTTGGTTCAGAGCAGCTACAATCACTGTACGGAAAGTATGCGGTTTTTGCTGTTGATGGTGACCATGAAGGTGATTCAAGCGTGCACCATGAGTTCAATTAGTATCACTTTCGTTCGGGGATGAACTAAGATCTAAGGCATGTCTCACAAACCCAGCGTCTGGCGTGCAAGAATTGTCGTCATTCGTAAACATTGTAAAGAGCCATTTTTCGGATCATATTCGATCAAATTTGTAATTAAAGTGCAATAGGATGTATGCTCAACAATGTTTCGTCAATGATCTATGAAAATTCACACAATGCCTAATCATTCAACTTATCGGCTATAAACCGTGTACCAGGGGTACATTGGTTCCAGGTGCTATGGTTCTGGTCTCCCTCACATGAATGTGGGGGAGCGTGGGAGGTATAGCCAACATTACACTTTGCAGATGTGAAGCGCATACCAAACCATGCGGCAGACTTATTTAGGCTAGTTAAATTAGCATGCATCTGAGGCAAGAAAAGCAATACCGTCCGCATATCCACTGTCTGTGAGCGCTTATTTAGGCTAGTTAAATTAGCATGCATTTGGGTTTGCATCTGAGGCAACAAAAGCAATACCGTCCGCATATCCACTGTTTGTGAGCGAACGTCAAGACAGCTTTCCGGACCTCAAGCTGTCAAAGGCAGGCTGAGAAATTTCAAGCGGATCAATAATAAAGTTGAAGAGAGATGAGAGAATACAGCCTTGTCTCACCACTGGACGTGGTGAACTCGAGTGAAATATTGCCGTATACTCTTACCCGTCTAGGGGAGTTCGCACACAATACACAGATACAAATTTGGAAGGGACACCCTTGATCGCCAGACACCGCCACAGTTTCTGACGATTGACACGGTCAAAAGCAACTTTCAGATCGAGAAAAATGACGTTTGAAGTTGTGGCGCTGTTCAAAAACCCTACCTAGCGTTAAGATGGGGTTGATGCCATCTCGGCCAGGGTAAAACCCAGCTGGATTCTCTTGAATGTCGTTCCTGACAATCAACCTGCGCAACGGGTGCCAAGCTGATGCACGAAATTTCCGCAGGTAAAACCCAGCTGGATTCTCTTGAATGTCGTTCCTGACAATCAACCTGCGCAACGGGTGCCAAGCTGATGCACGATAATTTCCGCATAACGATGTGACATAGTGAGCACCAAATACCGTTCAAATGTTTATAACGATTCTCCCGAGTAGCACCAGGTGATATTTATTGGGTTGTTTCCGATTCACTCCTGAACCGAATTGCCCATAAAAATGTGAAAAAAAGCTGCAGCTCGATTGATGACTTGGTTGCTATTGGTGTTGAAACTAGCACCGAGCTTTTCCATTTTTATCCCGTTCATGGGACCTCGATTTACTGTTTCGATTGTTGTTCAAACTTGCAGTTAAGTTTAGTCACAATATTCCTGATAGAATCGATTTTTTCTGTTTTTTTTTCCCGGACAATTCCTCTCTGATGTGCTTGGTACTTTTTCAAACAGGAAGTTTTATCAGGGCAAGCAAAACTTTCTTCTGTCCGACAGGCCTATCAGTCTTTCTAATCGATCACACTATAACGTTTGGTTGCGTTGGGGAGATTTTGGAGCCCCACTCGATACTTCATATTGCGGGTGAGAAACACTGCTTCATCCTTGTGACAAGGTCCAACATAGGTAGAGTTAAAATTGTCTTCTGGAATCGATGAGCCGATGTTTAACATCTTTCTTACCAGCCTTAGTTTTCTTGCGTTGGTCAGATGTTTACGTTCAGTCTAATTTTCAGAAGCCTGTCCTTGATAGGCAGTTAAAAGTGATGGTGAGGGCGTTCATGTACGTGTGTGGGATATCCAGACCAAGCAAGTGTCTTCCGCGCTCATGACTAGTTGTTTGTGTCCCGGCTATGTTACTGAATCGTACACGATCTTGTGACTTTTGTCCAGATATGATATTGTTTGTTAGCTCCACACCAGCCAAAAGTCCAGAGGCGATGATAGGCTTCCATGGTGAATGGTCTCATTTTGTGATTCCCCCACCCTACTACTCATGATGTTACGGCAGGGTTCACTATATCAATTTCGGAAACCGGGACCCCTTCATATTGTTTAAGTTTGGAAACATTACCCATCAGTCACATCTTCGATTCCTTGTGAGTTTGCACAATGTTCTCATGAATGCCCCCTTGTTATGACATCGGCCAGTGTCCTATTTAGCAGTGGTTTTCTGGTCGACCACTGGATGATCACCACGCTCTATCCTCTTCTTTCAGCTATGGCTACATTAATTTCGGGATGTTCAAGATTCTCGCACCACCGCTCACACATGTCAACCTGTCTCGTCAGACATGCTCGGTTGACCTGATCACAGAATCCACAGCCACCCTTAGACGTACTCCGTCCGAGCGCTCTTTGGTAAGCACACGTCGTTCCGGCAGCACCAGTTCCCTTTCCAATCCAACCCAGTCACTACATGTGATTGTTATTGGTGCCGGTATTTCTGGCCTCATGGCCGCTCGTCAGCTGACCTACTTCGGCGTGAAGGTCACAATTTTGGAATCTCGTGTAAGTATCTTTGTTCATTTAACTGTTTATGTACAGGTTTCGGTAAGGACTTTCGATCTTGGGTATCTTACAATAAACTTTTCAGTAGACCATGGAATGAAAGTTCAACCTCCCATAGGTAGACAGTTCACACAAGTGGATCTTCTACTCTGGAACCAGAAGCAAGGATCTATAACTAGTTTGTCCAACTTGAAGTAGAACGTATGCGGCCTTGAATAAATAGCATATTGTTCGTGGATTACGAGCTGTAGTATTCGTAGTTATCTCCCATTCCTGTACAGCCGAGCCTCTGAGTGGGCTCGGCTCTTGGAAGGGACACCCTTGACAATTTAGAAGTGATGTACCCCCATCCCGAATTTGGACCTTGAGATGTCTTACTCCGTGTAGTTCTCTTGTGCTATCTTGCCTAGCCTCTGTTACCTCAAACGGGCCTTGTGCCTGTTTCTCAATACTGACTGGAGCGGAGCTCCTTGTGAAATATCAATGTCTTGGCGAGAGAGTGAATACCAAGAGTGGTCACTCTAACTATGAACGAAACGCCCCCTGTTTATTCCCATTTTTCTTCCAGGATCGTGTTGGTGGCCGCATTTGGACATTCAGACGAGGAGACTCGTATAGTGAACTGGGCGCTATGGTAGTCACCGGGTTGTGTAAGTTCTTCCGGTTTTCACAGTTTCTGGTGTTGTTTATATCTTGTGTCTCGTCCGTTTTCCACGGTTTTTTGGTTAGAACGGGCTGATAAATCACTGGAACGTAGCCGTCGTTAAATTTTCATAAAGGAAACTACTCACAAGGTTGCTGAAATCTCTTCGACAGCCCACGACTGGTTTCGCCTTTCTTGGGGCTCATCAGGTAGATGCAGTCCCTGAGTTTCCTCCCAACACGATGTTCTACTTGAACCCAGTTGAGTCTCTCGTGAAAACCAAATTGATTTGCAAATGAGTGTATTTCTCAGAAACAGTCCAATTTGGGTTCAAGTAGAACATAAGGTTGACGGAACCTCGGGGACTGCGCCTACCTGTGCTGTCGAAGAGTTTTTAGTAACCTTGTGAGTAGTTTCCTTCATGAAAATATACTGTGATATCTCGAATATCGTGTCAACTGAATAATGAGGTGGCCTCTGTGCAGCATATTCAGTTGTTCAATATCATAAACGAAAAATTCAGTTGAGTCTCTTGTGAAAAACAAATTGATTTGCAAATGAGTGTATTTCTCGATAGCCGTCGTTACTTATTTTGGAAACGAGAGTGACAATGTCCATAAGCTCCGTCATCTAACATCAGTATGCCTGAGACGTCATATACTATCTTTATCCTAACATTATTATTGGTCAAGTCTGATGTCCTGTGATCCGCAATGGCTGAGGTCACATGGACGAAAATATTGCTTTCAGTACGGCCGCCTTTGAACTAGCGCTCGAGGTCGTTAGTTCGGGCGGTGGCAACTATATGCCATTATTTTCATTTGCTACTCATGAGTAGTTGTGCTCGTGTTCAAAGAATGTCAAAAAAGGGAAGTAAAATGAAGCTTGGCGATAGTATGAGGGAAGTACATTCGGCGAAATAGGCCGAGAGTCACTGGGCTGGACGGTCGATCGTACTTTAGTTCGACCGAAGTTTTTTGACATTGCCATACCTCCAGAATGTTAAAATTCAAAGACGAGAGGCGCTGAAGATGTTGGAATTCCATTAGAAGGCGATCGACTAAATTCAATGCGCTATCCAGACCCATGGAGACGAAAACCAGTCTCATTCTTTATGTGTGACTGAGTTTGGGAAGTTCTTTCCAGGTAAAAATGTGTGATCAGTACATCCGTATCTTGAATGAAAGGCCGCTTGTTTTCCTTGAATCTGTTTTCGGAACGAAGCCAAGACAAGGAGAACATCCCAATATCACAGTAGTCTATAGTAACAGAAAAACCAGTAGAAAGGTATTCTTGGAAAATGGGCGTTTCTCTTGTTTTCTAAGGCATCAGAGTGCTTTGTGTGAGGTCTGTTCCCCGAGAAGAGAACATGGTGAAAATCGTTTCGTCGAAAGAGAGGTCATTTTTTCTAAATGAAAGCAATATACATTGAGTACTGACTTTTTCATGGAGCAGCTACACAAACAGTTTCCAAAACTATTGCCTATCAGTGAAACCGTTCTGATTAGCGTTTATCGCCCAGCACCATGTGTACAGAGGGTCCTAAAACAAAGCATTCGGTCCTCACGGGTTTTATTTAACCATTCTATGCTATTACCTACGTTCTGTTGTGCAAGGTCTACACCTAAGTTCCGCTGCTGAGGATCTGTGCTTACCAAATGAAACGAAACGACTCGTTGTTTCAATCGTCTTTTTTTGCGTTTTTTTTGCATTTCACCAGCTGCTAATCCAGTTTCTATTCTGGTCAAACAAATCCCCCTCACATTGGTCCCCATCAATGTGGACTGTTCCCTGTACGATCCACGAGGAATGTTGGTCCCACGTGACGTGGACGAGAAAGTTGAAAAGGAGTTTAACAAACTTTTGGGCACCGCGGCTTTCCTATGCCACACAAAGTCCATGGACTCGATCACCACTGAGACCGGAGAGGAAAAGCTACTGTCCCTGGGCGAGGCGTTGGAAATGCTTATTCGGTTAGTGTACTTTTGCTTATTCAAGTCGAATGCACGGTTTGAAGAAGCAGTGTGTCCTAACATTTATCGAGCGATTGTTTAGAGGTGAACACCATGTGGAAAACATGCCAGTTTTCCCCGTTTGTGTTGTACTTTACGTGTGCATCCCCTTTTGAGGCCAAATTCCGCCTCCCCTCCTATATAACTATGTCCGCTTTGTACGATGTTTTTGTATGATTTTGACCAACATGTCTTTCCAAAGAGCGAATTTCTGCGAATGTGTCCAGTCCATGAAGGGAGAGCGACTGGTGTACTCAACACGTTCTTAACTGACTTAATTGCTCCCTCTCTCTCGTTATTTGCAAATTGCAGGTATCAAGAAAAGCATAAACTTCAGCTAAAAATCACCCATCGCAAACTAATCGTGAAACTTTTGGAACGAAAGAACGAATTATTGGATCAGGTATGTGACATCATTGTTTCTGCTTGCCTATTTGCTATCCATATATGTATACGTACATATAAATCGCTGTGACCCATAATCCCTCATAGTAGTTTACATCAATTAGTTTTCAATAAGGGTTTCCTCCTTTAAGTGAAGTCAATCTATGCTGTAAACCCGGCAAACACTGTGCAATTGTTTCATTCTTACAGGGAATCATCAGCAGTACGCACCTCACAAAACTCCGTGGAGTTTTGGCCCCGCAAACTCGCGGCTAGTAGTTTGGACGTTTAACGGTTCGGTCACGTGTGGCTAATTGGTCACTGATTGGGCATTAATTCACACTTAGGCAGGTTAAAATTAGTCTCCGCTTGATCCATCTTCCCTCAGGAAACAGGAAAACCTCACTGTTGCTACTTTCAAGTACTCGACAGTAATTTCTCAAGCTCTGACTTCCAACCGACTTCGGGGACGTTCATACTGTCCCTTGTTATCCCTATTTTTTTCAAGCATTTGTGAATATCGGTACTTTCAGAGAGACTTCCAGAGGTTAGACACCGCGCTCATATTCGTCCTCCTTTAATTCAACGCCATCGTATTGTTGTTCGTGACCACGATAAGATGTTGACCGTTCGTCTTGACAATCCGTGTTATACTGTCGATCAATCGAAGTGTAACTGATAATGTCGTTTCGTGGTTCTTTCATATGGATAATAGGTTTTTCGTGGTCCCCGCCGAAATTTCAGTCTTATATATATATA